CTGGTCCAGTCCTCAGCCTGCCACCCTCTTTACTCTCACTCTTCCTGGAGAGGCTTCAAGAGCCCTGTTTAAAAATGGGTGCCTTTGGGAATCTCCTAAAGAGATACATTTCTGGCTAACTATAAGAATCTCTTATGGACATCGGGCCTCCACTCAAGTTCCCTCAATGCAAGAACACTTTGTTCTATTGAACTGGCATTGCACGATGCTCACTTTCCCTGACATGATTGCTGAAGACAAAGCGGGTGCATAAGCAAATGTGGTGAAGAAAGCTATCCAAAGATATAGCTTCGGGGGTCTTAAAGGCTTGAAGATAAACAAGCGACCATCTAGCTGAGGAGCAACAAAGCCCACATAGAAGAAACTCACCAGCCTGTGTGATCACAAGGTGTCGACGGGATCAAGTATCAGGCATCAAAGAACAAAAAAATCATATCATCGTGAATGAGGGGGAGTGAGGAGTGGAGACCCAAAGCCCATCTGTAGGCCACTGGACATCCCCTTACAGAAGGGTCTCTGGGAGGAGATGAGCCAGTCAGAGTGCAGTATAGCAATGATGAAACATACAACTTTCCTCTAGTTCTTAAATGATTCCTTCCCCCCACTATCATGATCCCAATTCTACCTTGCAAATCTGGCTAGACCAGAGGATATACACTGGCACAGATAAGAACTGGAAACACAGGGAATCAGGGACAGATAAACTACTCAGGACCAATAATGAGAGTAACAATACTAGGAGTGGAAGGGGAAGGTGGGGTAGAAAGGGGAAACCGATCACAATGATCTACATATAACCCACTCCCTGGGGGATGGACAATAGAAAAATGGGTGAAGGGAGATGTCAGACAGTGTAAGACATGAAAAAATAATAATACTTTATAAATTATCAAGAGTTTGGGGGGGCAGGGAGGTAGGGGGGAAAATGAGGAGCTGATACCAAGGGCTCAAGTACAAAGAAAATGTTTTGAGAATGATGATGGTAACAAATGTACAAATGTGCATGACACAATGGATGGATGGATGGATGGATGGATGGATGGATGGATGGATGGATGGATTATGATAAGAGTTGTATGAGCCCCCAATAAAATGATTTTAAAAAGCAAAAAGGCAAAAAAAGAGTCTCTTATTATGTAAAATGTTTAAATAAATCGAATGTCATGATAAAAAACAAATCAAAGCAGAGCTAAGTTCAAACTCATAAATTACATGTGCTCTTCTTTCCTCCATCCTGATACATTCCCCTGCCTGAGACACTCCCCGCCCCTTCATCGCAGTCCATCTGCTTTGGTTAAGGACTACTTGTTAATGTTTTGCCTGAGATCCACAAAAAGTATATGTTTTCAATTTAATAACAGAAAGACGCATTATCCAATTTTAAAACAGACAGTGGATTTGAGTAGACATTTCTCCAGGGCTATATATAGATAATCATAAGGGGAAAAGTTGCTCGATATCATTAGCCATCAAGGAAATGAAATGCAAATCAAAGCCAACATGCAATCCATCTTCCCACCCACTTAAAAAAAAGTTTCTGCTGAGATCAATTCCTTCTTACAACAATCCCATGTAGGTCAGAGTAGAACTGTGCTCCACCGAGTGTTAATATACCTGAAAAAAATGTCAATTTATATAGAAAAAGACCTAGAAAGAACTATGCAAAATTGAGAGCAGGAGTACTGGGAAGATGTCAGAGCCCTCAAAAATGTTACAAAACCTTTTATTTATTTATCTTTAACAGTGAGGAAAAAAATATTTTTCAATAAAGTAGGAAAAGATTGTTCCTACATCAATAGCCAATAAGTCAGAAGTGATTCTTTAAATTAAATTCATCCCATGCAGAGTTTATAACCCTAGAAAATGTTTTACTTCTTTTCCCACAAATAGGCATGATTTAAAATAATAGTTCTATCGATTTTTTTGTTGCACTGCCCCAAGTTCTCCCAAACATGATCCAGGGAGACCCCCTCTGGAGACAGACAGAAGTTCAGCTTGGTCCAAACCTTAAGCTGTGCCCAAGTGATTTCCAAAGAGAGGCAAGCTCTCTTTTGAAATAAACTGGAATCTCTTTTTTGCAACTAGCTTATATTAGCCAATCACCAGAGGCAACATAATCAGTGACCCTTTATGAAATGATGAGAAAGAAATCCTCATTAGAACCATAAAAAAAAGCTAAATTCTTGGATCTTTATCTTGACCAAAAAAAAAAAAAACACAAAGAAAAAAATGTTGCAAAACGAAATTTCTGCTGCAGTGAAGTATACAACATAAATGACCATTATAAACTTTTTTTTCTTTTTGAATAATTTTACTGGGGTTCATACAACTCTTATCACAATCCATACATACATCAATTGTGTAAAGCCCACTTATATATGTGTTGCCCTCATCATTGACCATTATAAACTTTTAGAGTTTTAGACCAAACTCATTTTTCATCGATATAAGATATAGTCATATGCTCTAACTTAAAAGTTTATCTTGGCAACACTTCATTGCTGATAAGGACTCTGTTTAAAATGTAGACCATACTGGGGGGTGGGGGGGAGGCAATGAGCTGATACTAAGGGCTCAAGTAGAAAGAAAATATTTTGAAAATTATGATGGCAACATATGTACAAAAGTGCATGACGGATGGATGGATGGATGGATGGATGGATGCATGGATGGATGGTGATAAGAGCTGTAAGAGCCTCCAATAAAATGATTATATATATATATGTATATATATATAGAGAGAGAGAGAGAGACCACACAAGCTACAAATAAAATAATGTATACAGAAAGTATATTACTATTTGTTATAGCAGGGCAATAACCCAGCAGCCACTCCACAGGAGAAAAAAGGTGAGGCTGTTTCCGTAAAGCCGGAAAGCCTTTAGAGTGGCTACATGTCAGCAGCCACTCAAAGGCAGTGAGTTTTGTGTTGTTGTTGTTGTTTATACTAGTCATTTTAAATAAGCCTTATCATCTTGATCACCCAGCCGATAAACAGTTCAAAGTTAGGTGATTCAGATACCAAGAGATGTTGCAGGATACACATAACTGTGAAAAGTATATACAGACAGAAACTTAAAGGGATACCACTGCAGTCCTTTGATCAGAAAGGTTGCTTATTATGGGATGGTTA